ACCACGCAAACGGCAGAAGCCTAGGGTTTCTCCTGGCAATCCGCGGGATGCCGAGGCTTCAAACCCCGAGCCTCCTTCCACCAACTGTTCTGCAGTATAATGGTAGTGTTATTGTAAGTCAATAACAACCATGGTAGGTTGGTAGTATAGCTAATAGTCGTCTAGTCGTTTGGACACATCCTGTGCTGGGGTCCGTATCGCGCACAAGATGAACCAACGGCTCAAGGCTCGTTCTGCTGCTTCTGCAAGAGAAGCCCCCAAAACGGCCTAGGGCCTAGGGTGGAGTTTGAACTCAGGTTCCCGCATATCAAGCAGAGCTTCAGGGTTCTATTCATGCGCAGCCCACAGCAGGTTTCAAATTTGAAGAGTCCTGGGCAATTTGTGTGACACGGGCCACACGTTACAAATTTGTCCTGGGCTAGACTCGGCTAGACCCGTCAACCTTGCAGAACGCATGAACCTTAGGCGCCAAGGAAACTGCCCTAAAAGCCACCACAACCAAAGGGAAACCCCTGCAAACCCTGGACCTGCGAACCGTGCCTTAGTATTGTAAGTTTAGGCACGAACGCATGAACAACTCGAAGGCCATAGATACCAACACCCAAAGACCCGTAGACCGATTCGCACATTGAAGCTGGTTCGGTGGCCCGTCTCGGGACGGTATATGGAAGGTAGCCCAAAGGCAACCAAGGAAGAGGCGCCCTCCGCCCAGTTCGTCTGAGGACCATTAAGCAAAAGAACGAAGGATTGAGCTTCTCAGGATTTAGGGATCAGGGCCGATTCGCGCAGGGAAGGGGATTTTGCAAGCTTTGCCCAAGAGAAGAGAGAACTCCGTCGGTTCTGGGTTGCGGCATTTAAGCAGCTTGTCCTCAGAGGGCGAGGGGGCACTCACCAGGAGTCCCTGCTGACAATGGGCCTGCTTTGTTTCGCTCTAGGCTTTGAGCTTAGATGTCAGGGTTCCAGGGCCAACTGTATAGCAGCACACTACATGAGTCCAACATGCTCACAAGCTTAGGCTGCATAGTTTGATGAGTTCCCAAAACCTCGCACCCGAAAGCCAGTGCTTCCGATTTCCAAGTCTGCGACGCTAAACTTCAACTCTGCGCCGCTAGCCGCTAGACGAGACTCTGTAATCCATATCAAACCGCAACAAGCCTAAACCCTCGAAGCAATGCAATCTGTGGCAAAGCTTCCATCCTGCAACTACCCGGGTTTGAAATGCTAGAAAACCCAGCAACTCCCAAACCCCCTTAGCCCTGAGTTTCGTGTTTAAGCAAAGGAGTTTAGGGTCTAGGGTTTAATCTGGAGGTCCAAAACCTAGGACCTAAGCCGCACAAGCTTCAGCCCTGAAGCCTCATATCCTGGCCCCTGCAAGCCGTGAAGGAACACGGGCTGTAAATTCACTCTGCAGCCTAAATCTGCAAACCAAGGGCCGAAACGCTTGAATCATAACACTCGAAGCCTGTCGAAGCCTGAAAGACTAGGCTGGTATCATGTCAAGGTTCGAGGCCCCTTAATCAGACCTTGCCAGGATTGGAGGCTTCAGTTTTTGGCATTTGGAGTTTGGCATTGTAACCCTTTCTGAAACCTGATTCTGTTCAGGCAGGCATCCTTGGACACTACAATCCTAGTTTCCAATTTCCAGGATCCTGGGCAGAGTTATTGAGAAAGGATCTCGAAATGAGCAGCTATACGGGTCTAGGCTCTAGAGCAGGACCTCCGAAACCTTCACTTTGGCAAGTTTAAATTGGCCTGACGGGCAGGCAGAGCTGCGATTAGGTATCCGGGATAGATCGGGGGTCTTTCAGCAGTTCGACTGCCGTCCATTTCGGCCCTGAAACAAGTGAGTTCCAGAATAAAGCCTTCTCCCGAGTTAGACACTTGTGTTAGAACTTGTTGTCGATTTTTCGGCACTATACCTGTCACTAACTGTGTGCAAGGCTTAAATTGCGAGCCAGCAATAGTGGGATTCCATACTGCAGCCCCCGATGCCTCAGATCCTTCGCGCTCGGTGAGACAGCAATCAAATGGTGCTATCTCCATATTAGTTCGTAGTGGAGTGGCTAAAGCCCCGGTGAAAATGCTAACGGGAGACATTGCAGCAGCAAGCACCGACATCTGCGAATCTGACGGAAGCTCCTCGCGACTGAACCCCAATACCATGAATTAGTGTCTACGGCCTCTGGAAAAAGTTTCGCTTAGGCAGCGACCTGTCGGGCAATTTCTGTGGCTGGATGCTGAAGCCGAAGTGCGGTGCCCGAAATCACACAATGCTGAAGTTCTAGCTTTCAACAGCTGTTGATTCTACGGGAATTCTGTCGACAAGTCGGTAAATAGTGTCTGGGGTGGAACCGTAAGCAACATCATGATCTTCTCGGAAACTTTCTTCTTCAGCACATTTACGTTTGCAGCATCTGCTGCTGCTGCTGCTCCTACTACTACTGCTGCTGCTGCTGCTGCTACTGCTACTACTACCAATAACAAGGATAGTACTAAGCATGTTCTCCTCCTACCACTGCCTCGACTCTGCTGCTACTGCTCATGCTTTTGCTACGACGCCGACATCTTCTTCCTCTGGCCACTACTGTTGCCACTGCTGCCATCCCTGCTGATGCTACTTGTTTGCCCTGCATTGTTCACCGCCGGGGCTCCAGGGGCACTCCCAAACCGTGCCATTCGCGCTGTGAGGCTGGCCCACTGGCCTAGCTAGCAGCTGGCGGCTGTCTGATACAAACCCAGAATCCCGACGAGGACCTGCAACTTGTAGATGCACAATGCTCCGCAGGAGCAAGAGCTGGAGTGGGACAGTTTCATGTGAAACGCTGCATCCGATGGCTGTAAATCAGAAAACCCAGAGGGTCAAGGTTTCTCAACTGTTGGATGTAAGCCCCAGAAGCTGAGATTGGACACAAAAAGCCATCCCCCCAACAACTGTTGGGATCTAATGCCACGGTGGTAGCATATGTGGACCCTTTAAGTTCAGAGACGAGAGGCCTGTTTCGGTTGGAGTTGCATATAAGACGTTCTTGGTAACCGATCGTGGTAAAACAGCCTGGTACACGAGAGGAATATACCGTAATATACCTTATTACCCTTCAAAGAGTCCTTGCAAAGTAAATCTATTGCCCCTATAAAGATGACAACTTCAGAAAACAAGGGACTCAAAAAACGAAACAAAATAGTAGGATTCTGTTCATATTTTGATTGACGACCCCAAAAACAGGTAGCCCAAGTAATTAATCGGCAGGACCCCCAAAAAAAAGCACAAGGGGGCAGGGGCCTGTTGACTGTCACGACACGTTGCGCTGCTCAGGAAATCAAACCCTTGATTCAGGCGACGACGATCCCCAACCGTTCCCAACTGCAAGAATGGCAAGAGTTTTTGCTCCCAGCAACCGCACCCTCTTTTTCAGCAGCTCCCGCCTTTTGCTAGAAAGACTTGGAAAACCCACGGCCTCTGAACATGGCACCTCGGCATCCCAAGCACCGAACCCGAAAGAAAAGACATCATTTGTAGTTCATGGACCACAAATCCGTGAACCGAGACCTAATAAGTTGCCACTGAGATGCGCAGCAAGAAGATACTGGTTGTCCTCATGGCTCGTGCAGCAGGAAGTTTTGAGAGGGTCTGAGACAACACACAGTAATCGATGATCTGGTGGTAATGAAGGCTCCGGCCTGTACAAGCTATAACCTTTACTCCTGAGGTGTCCTCAACCCGAACCGGTCTTTACGCGGATACACAGAACCACGTGTTCCTCCGTCATGCGCTCCACTATCTGTGCCGCCGTAAGCCTGGGCGGCATCGTGAATGGTTTAGCTTCAGGCTTGCGGGGTGCAGACCCAGGGGGCAGGACTTGGGGTTCTGGGTTAAGGTTCAGGGTGGTTTAAAGCTCATCGTGCACAGACACAGGGTTTAGAGCCCCTAAAACCTAGACTCCCAAAACGCCAAATTAATGACTAGCAGCGACCCATATACCCTGCCTTTACTTGGGTTTCACGGCAAGGACTATTGCTACTAGGGGGTCGAGGTGAGCCCTCCTCAACTCTAAACCCAAAACCCTTAACGCCAGACAAGCCCAAAACCCTGCATCCGAAATCCTAAATCCTCTACGCTACCTAGCACTAGNNCTACCACCAGAATCCCAAAACACACGACCCCAAAGCTTTGACCCTGAACCGATCCGAGAAACGGTGTTATCCAACCCGGCGGCGGTGTCGCCGGTGCCGCCATGACTCCTTTTTCGCAGGAAGGGTTGTAGTTTCAGGAAGGCGTTCTATGTGGTCGGGTGTAGGGTTTTCCTGCTGTTTTCTGGCGAGGTTGATCCGGATTCCCACATGGGATGTTACTCGTAGGTCGACTGGCGTTCTGTGGGTTGTTAGCTACTGCTGCTCTACGACAGATGAACCTTCAGTGACTACACTCGAGGTCCACCGCTTTGGGCAGTCTTGGGCTTAGCCGGCACCTTCAGCCAAACTGCATCGAAGACCCAAACTTGCACCTTCGTTTTCTCAAGCACCCCCCAAGTCGACCCCGAACCCCCAACTCTCAAGCCGCGGTCCTGGGTTCCGAACTCGCAAGCGCGCGGGATGTAGAGATACCCTTCAGATGACCCCTTATTGTGGGCATGCAGATCTAGGGCGTAGGCTTAGAAGGCTTCAGGTGCAGGGAAAGATTACGAGCCCTCAGCATCACTCAGCATGTCATGCTTTGCCGGGCCGAAATTTCACCACGACGCATGTAACCCAGAGCACCTATGCCAACCCACAGAAACCCATAGTGTGACAACATGACTTGCTTCAAGCTGGCTTACCAGACATCTGGCAGAGATTGTTCCCTTGCAGCCCGCCGAGCTGATATCACATTCTGCGCTACGTGCCGCTTGTTGCAGGCACAACCGCCACTTCAGCCTGAAAAATGGACTGCAAGAGGCTGTGAAACATTTTAGAGCATCACTTGCATTTGGCCTCTCTGTGAAGCCCACTCAAAGGAAGCTACATCACCCGAAGTTGCCCTTGGGTGTCGCAGGCTCCGTCATGAGCCTTAACTGGCAATCAGGCTCTTGCAGGACTCGCGCGACCCTCAACTACACTTCCCCTGATATTCAAGGACCCTGACCCAACCACAAAGAAATTCCCACACATAGGAATTGAAGGTCAGGTAAACGAGACGAGGCAAAAAAGCACGGGGCCCCATTCAATGCGGCCTCGCGGCCAAAGATTTTCAAGATTGAGTTAGGGGCTTAGGGTCTAAACTTCAGGGGGGGCAGGCTCCTGCTGCAATCGCAAGTAACTTTGCCAAGCAGCCAAGATATAAACTCCTGTACTTGGATTTTGCCGTCCCGATTGGTGTCTGCTTGCTGAAACAGCCTTACTTGTTCAGATTGCGGGTAAATCAAAGTTAGAAGGAAAATCTTGAGCTTGAACCTGTTCCAGACCTTGCTCCATCCAAATAAACACCAAACATCGTGCTTCGTGGACTGCTCAGCAGCGCTTGCACCTCGGTCTTTGGAACCGACAGAGCCTCCAAAATCCCCAGCATCTCCTCTTCTGATAGGATGCCGTCGCCAGATTTGTCCTGGTTGGCCAGGGTTTAGGCTTGAAGGGCCTGGGACTTCGGCTCTAATTAAGGCTTCACCGCCAAGCCAAATCTCATCACTGCCATGGAAGTCAATCACTACATGCGGTTTCGGGCTTGGGCACGCATGCCGTTGACCGCACCCCTCGCACCCTTCACCGGCTGCTAAATTGTCTTTTAAAGAAACAAAGGTCGATCATGAAGGCGGCTCCGACCTCAGTACTAAACTGCCATGATGAGGGCATTCCACCATCAGCAACTTACATCCGGGCTGCCTGACACCGCAACTGCTAGTAATGCATTTCGGGGGCTATTTTATATGACTGCTCCATGCCTGCATCTTGAAACCTCCTACGGCTTCGCCTTACGGGGCAAATTCGGCCAGTACCCAGGTTCGACCTGACCTTAGATAAAGCTTGTGTTCGTCCTTGCGCGAGCTTAGCCCCACATGAAGCCTGCACGTAATTGATTCAAGCCTAGTTTTCGCTAATCGCACTCATAGCTACTGTCAGAACAACCCACACTTCCCTTAGGCGGAGACGTATTGCTTGCTTAGGGTACATGCAGAGCCAATTCATCGCCCAGTATCATACTTATGGAAGAGATCTTGCACCAGCTTAGTCTGCCCCATCTTGAACTCTGTCATGTTGAAGGCGACAGTGGGCTGGAACGTGATGGTCACGACTTGGCCCACAACTTTGGCTTCATGCGCAGGATTCCATCGATAGTCCGACACTCCGTTCTTCGGCGGGTATTTCAACTTTGCGCCAAAAGAAGTCACATGCTCTTCTTCAAATTCATAGGTTTCGGACTCACCGGCGAAGACAAGCCGATCCTTGTAGTCGTCATTGAGAAACAAGCGGAACCAAACATCCACGGAGCACTGGTTCACAAATGTTAGCTTTTGCTTCTCATCCGCTCCAGCTGTGCCAATGCTAGCATTTGATGTCAATGAAGCTGTCAGCTCAACAACCGCAGAGCTTGCGCCAGCTGGGAAGATATGAGTATTTGGAGGTGGCTGCGATGTGTACCAGGCTGCAATGTGTGAAAGAGTGGCAGCATCCAAATTGCAAGAAACCTCGCCATCGGCGATCAGGGTATGTTCCTCGGATGCTTCTGTGCTACCTGATCCGACCACACGGACACAGCAGGGATCGCCAGTGCCATTCCGAAGTACACAGCTGACATTGCCAGGCATCGCACTCAAGTCCAGCTACACCACGCGGCTACACTGCTGCACGACCTGTTGTCTGATGAGGCAAAAACAAAACAAAAGCTCGCAGGTTTGGCTGCCAGCAAGCTCGCTCCAGATGGCTCCAACAAACAAGAGGCTGCCGCTGAAACAGAGTCTGCA